ATTTCTGACGTGGTACTACCCAACATTGAACGTCATATGGTTTTTTCAACCGTCGTATTCTATGCTGCTTCTCAAATCAAAAATGAATATATATATATATATATATATAGATTAAAAAATAGGAAATTGATATAATTATATTTTTGAATAAGAAGAAATATTTCTGGATTGAATATTTTTTTATACGCAAGCGAAAGTGCGAGAGTATTTACAAAGGGAAGAAAAATATTTTGGATTACGTCAGTTATTTTTATAAGCAAAATTAACTCATAAAACTTCCATTTTGGGTACCCGAACCTGTTCACGTGCATGGCCGAATCTAGCATGCCACGTTGCTTTCTATTCATGGACAAACACGCTGCTGACACGTAAACAAAGTATGAAATGAAAATTGAAGGCACAAGTGTATCTATTTCGTGAATTTGCGAGTGATTCTAAGTTTAAGTCTTTGAGGGATAAAACAGATAATTTACGGGTTCTTGATTTACCAGATTTTAAAAAAACTAAAGAAAAAATGGGAGCGAAATTTAGAAAAGTAAAATCCGGCGGATAATCATATGGATAATCTTGGTACAAGCTAAATCATAAGCAGACAGGGACATTAAATATGTCAGCTAGATGTGGGAAATTTCAATGTGATGATGATATATTATTTGGTAGAGTGTTTCTTTCACTCGAGAATCCTGCATACTGTGTTGGTGATCCATACACTTCCAAAATAAGTTGTCATATCTTAATGTCTTTCTAACGCAACGTTTTTCTCCATCTTTTGACCTAGCTCCATTTAGTTTTAGTAAACATAAAGATGACATTTGCTTGTTGCTTATCAACAGATCTGATTTTTTAAAAAAAATATACGAATTACACATTTTAAGTTACGTTCCAAGTTTCCGCTGTCGACTCTACATCTATTCATTTATTAGACGAGAGATAAATAACTGAAAAGTTTTATATCTCTCGACCAGAAGAAAATAAACGGAAAAACTAAACACAAAACGATAAAAACGGAAAAACAGAACAAGCTTCTATATATTTGGTTTCGGTGGTCCAAAAAAAATTACAGCGCGTAGACGGTTAACAGCCCGAAATAGGAATTGTTTTTGTGCATGGTGGTAAAGTACGAAATAGAATTGAATATTAGAGTAAGAGCCCAACCCAACCCGCTCTTGAACATTTCTTTCCACAAATGCATTTTTGCTCAATCTCATCCCAGGGGAACAAATATGGATTACACACAAATGTCGTGCAGCAGAGGGACAAAACAGTTGTATTATGCAGTTTAAGTCTAATATTTTCGACATTAATCAGATTGTTGATAAAATCATCGCAAATGTGGATTGGGGATTATTTTGAAAAGGTTCATTTAAGGTAAGTAAAACCAATTTTTCTTTGACTCGAAACCAGTTTTCTTACCTTTATGCCCTCTCGCCGTTTTTGAAATCATTAGTGATATAGTTACACGGGAAGGGGTAGCATCCATTCAACAACAGTTTCGAATCCAAATTAATCTAGGTGTGTATACCCAACGTATCCATTTCTGTGTCATAACACTATTTTGATATTGTAAGTGTTAGTAAGAGTTAAACATAGTATATGAAGATAACACTGAATTATGAAGTTACATTCGTATTTATGCCTGTCATGCAACAAATGCTGCTCAACTTCCCTCTGAGTGTTAAGGGTGCGATTAATCACGGCAAACAGAGTATTTTGTGGAATCGCCTGTAAATAACAATCTACTGCTACATATAAAACTTTTCATCCATTTATTCTGCAGTTCTCTAGGACTTAATGTGTATAGAAGATGTGATTCTTCTTATCTGAATGCAATTTTAACATTTTTTTGTTCTGAAGCCAATTCATTTTCACAGAGGTATTTTTCACAAAAAAGAGATGTTTTGTACACTGTATATAATATTTTCTATCAAACCAAATTATTTCATATTCATTATTCATGGAATAAAATGTCCAAAATGTCTAGTGAATATTTTTATGTTTTATATTCAGTATCCTAAGGAACTAAATGTTCAGAGAATATCCATTATGTAAAGAATCAAAATGTTTCGTATATTCATGATCCACCAAAACGTCACTAAGGCTATGTAGCTTTCAATACCTAGGAAATATTCTTCTTTATACTACCTCCCTAAGACCTTTACTGATGTACGTCAATACCTGGGTATATCAAAAAACTGTCATATTGTAAGAATGATACAAAAGTGTGAATTGGTGACTAAAATAATCAAAAGTCCATGATTCTGTCAATCAACATAACGTTAACAGTTACAACGATAAAACAGTGACTATCTGATTAAATTATTTAACTTTTTACCGTTGTAGAAAGATGTGAATGAACAGTTATAGGTAAAATTTACACAAGATGATCAGAGCGATGTAAAGACCCTCCCTCCGAACACCTGGGACCACATGCTACACACCTGTACAACACACTCATCAACTCGGGTGAGAACTACATTATCGTCATGATTAATTCTCTGATAACTTCATAGGGAAGCAGCATCACAAATATTTAACACTTCAAGTGCAAAATACGTGTAAATTTGTGTCATAATGAAGCGACGAGAGCGAGCCGAGGTGTTTGATATGTCTTGATGGCCGGGCCAGAGGATAGACAACACCACCTTATGACGGAGATTGGAGTAGCTTGTTTGGCCCAAACTAATCCTTTGATGTAGTTAGATATCTCTAAACCAATCATTTGGAATGTCCGCTTAATCTCTGATATTGTAAGGTAGTTGGTTAAACAAGGGATTTATTGATCCCTATTAGTATCCTCTAGAGAAAGAATTTGTCACGTTTGGGAAGAAATATCGTCATAAATCGCCACAAAGTTTGCACGCGGTGGCAACAGATGTCATTTGAGGTCATATAAACAAATCGGAAATGGCTACCGCGCAGGTGTGAGGGATGTATGTTTGTATGTTGACGGACTGAGCTAGCACACCACCAATTGGCATTTATCTCAAGGGGTTATTAGACGCCATTCAGAAATGCACTTTCCACATTGAAATTTTCTCCTTGAAATTACTTCTCTCACCTATCTATTTAATTAGCAATGACCGGTTTCCAGAAAGTAGCCACATCCGAACTTCAATCATTTCTTGTAAAACAAGTGAAAGGTTACATTCAGCTGACAAATGTCAAATCAATGTTTTACACTCAATCTGTACATTTATTCCTTTGTCGATACATACGTATGTGACTGATATGTAGGTGCGCTATTTGGTTAATAGTAAGTGATATTTGACTGATGTTAAGGGATGTATAAACACTGATGACTATTTAGGTATGTAATAATCTGTTAATGTTAGAGAGTGTTTATATTGAACATAAATGGTATCTTTGGAGTGAGATGGTAATATGTATTTTGTATGCGAGGACGTTTATGTTTAAGAGCTGTGGTGTCATATACGGAGATTGTGTAATATATGAAGGATCTTAAATTTTTTTATTTTATACGATGCTTGTATGAAATGAGTTTTTGAGAGTTCTTATTTTTGTGGGCCTTGTCCTTGTAACTTCAAGATGATCAATTCATGTCGTCACGTCATTGTCCATTCTATGACATCACAATTTGATTTCTGGTTGGAACAGCAAATGAAACACTCATCCGGGTATTGCGTGTATGTTTCAGAAATTTTGTTAATAGGATATAGGTAGAACACATTAATTGTGAGATGGTGTAACGCATAGGAATTCCACCTTATGAGAAAATATACCAATCGCATTGGGTAGTTGATATCACATGGTGACCAGCTGTGTTTCAGCAGTGTGACCTTATAGACGACATCATTATTGTGTCCATTTTTTGATCAATTAAATAAAAAATGCCGTTGATATAAAAAAAAAGTTTTCTGTTGTGTTCTATGGATTGTGTTCTGCTGCTCTCTGTAGGAATACCATAGTTTATGATTCCTTAGAGTTTTAGATCTTGTGTTACACATCCACTGAACTACAATAATTTATCTGTACAATTTTTCATGTGAGAAAATTTTCTAATGGAATAACGCTATTTGGTAAGTTACTACCAATCAACGTGTGGTAACGCACTCGGCTTTCACATCGATTACCAGAACGGACGTGAAAAGGTATTGGGTCACATGCCCGAACATGTGGGTTCCCCCCTTGTATTCCGGTTTGGTGCGACCCATTGTGCGCTTCCATCTGCACCAACAAGAGTGATTAATATAAGTTGGAAAAACTTGTTTTGCAATTGTCTTGCAAAACTTGTTTTTTATGAACTTGTTTTGCAATCGTGAATAAAAAGCTTTCTGTTTCCTCTCGCTGAATGTAAATCTAACGCTTCTACATTCCTGTAGACGGGCAGTAAACAACCAAAATAGCTAACAACATTTACATTCATATATATAAGAAATATATTGACTACCTAGCGAAAACAAAACCAAATTTACGAGGAAATATCGATATTTTTGAGGCACGATAATCAAACGGAGACTTTAAAATTTATTTTTATTACACTCTACAGGACCTAAAGAAGGCGACGAAAACTGTTTCACATTGGCTCATATAAATCTGTTTTGTAGAACCACATTTTGTGCCATTTAATCATCGTCATCATCACCAGCAACAGCAGCGACAACAACAGAAGGAGTAGCAGCACAATTGAATATGTTCAATTTTTTATGCGGTTCAGAAAGACTAATATTGTCATACATGTAAATAATTTCTTCAATATTGTCTGTAACGCAAAGTGCTGTTTCGTTATGTGATAAAGTATAATGAAATAGTTTTTAGAATGAAGAGTATTTCCATGCGATCCGAGTGTTTATTTTTTAATTTCAACCTTATGCAGAGCAAGACAGAGATGGTCATCGTAGTATACAAGAATGATGGATAACTCCAGCATCAATCGGCAAATAAGTTGATCCACTTTATTAGATTTCAAACAAGAACACAAGAAAAATGACACTATTTCTGTAACATGAATAATTTCAGATAACTTAAAATTTCTTCCAGCTATTTCATTAAGTATAGAAAGTGTGTCCATCAGTTCCTGGAGTTTCAACGGAAAAGATATGGTTGTTCAGTTTATGAGAATGTACTTGACGATCTCGACTGTTCAGAAGGTAGACTGGGAAGGGGTGGGTGAGTTTGTGACAAGTGTGCCAGTATGTTTCCAACTGAAGCCCTTCTGGTGAAAACTGATTGAGGGGGATGCTGTGTCGAGGAGCTGCTGGCCGGTTGGCTGGACGGATTATGTTCGTTAAAGGGGTGGTGGAAGGTCTGCGAGAAGCTAGAGTTGCGGCGAGGAGACGCCTCCCTGCTTGAAGTCATATGTCTTTGGAGGTGATCATTAATACTCTCTGTGAATTCTAGCGAAGCTTCTGAATCTGTTCCCTCATGTGACTTTTGCATGGGCAAGCCCTGGGAATTTTCAAGATATTTTTCATGTGATGATGGTATTGTTTGACGTGTTCGTGATGATAAAGGTGATTGAACAAATTCTTCGGAGTCTGTGGCGTTAGCGATCTCTGCATCTGGTAACCAGGACGGTCTCTTGGTGAAACTTTTCATCTGAGCAGGAAGTGACCTAAAAGACATATAGGACCCTTGGCGAACATGTGGAAGTGCCCCCTCAGACTGAGCTAGCCTCATGTTTTGGTAAGGGGAATCCGCTGTTACATTTTGAGTACTGTTTCTGACTAGAAAAGAAAAAATAAAAGAACATATTTACTACAGTATAGAGGTAACCAAACATGTGATATTGACAACATACTGATCTGGTCGAAACATTCACAAACAGTGAGCGATAATTCTACTTATTTTTGAGATGAGACATTCGAGATATGACCACATACGGTATATGAATATTTCTATAATATTATTCTTGAAGGCGTCAGAAAATGCTTCGCCTTAAACTCGCATCAAAAATACCTTTTCACACCTCGGTACTGACACTTCAAAATAGTAATGTTCTCCAATGTTTCTCGGTAATCATTGTTTTATATTTCAGTATTAGTATTGTTAGTTGGCTTGCGGTGTATAGGTACTACTTACATTCTGTCAGAAGCTCCTCATACTGGTTTTTCTGTCCTTGGAAGTCATAACAATTGCAACACCAGAATTCCCGACAGAGAGATTCGCTGATATCACAAATGTCCGGTGGAAGTTCGGAAATTGATCCACCATTTTCAATTATATTTCTACATTCTTGAACACTTTCCAACCTGGAAATAAAACGTGAAATATGCATAATATAATTAATTTAATTAAAATCAGCAGAAAATTAAAAAAAAAACAACAAACAAACAAACATGTGCTTTTGATATTTAGACTGAGAGATGGCTAGTGTAACTTGTGTGTGGTTGTTATGTATGTTCTTCCCGAATACATAATGATTCAGTATCATAAAAAAAATTGCAAACAAATAAGGAAAAATAAGTACCAAAATATTTCACATATATACACAGAAATATCTCGAATTATGATTTGTTTGTTATTTCCTGTACGTGTGTATTTTTTACTCAATTAAGAACTTTCTGACTGGCTATTGCCGAAATTTATGACGTTTTCTGATTGTGACATTGTACCGTTGCATCACAATGACTGAGCCCTTTTTGTGCGAAAGTCAGATGACAGTTCCCTGGTAATTTCTGTACTATACATTGAAGTATGAAAGAAAACCTTGTCATGGATATCTCTGTATTGTACGGGTAGGTATATAGTACGAGGCAAATTGTTAGTGTGAAAGTAGGAGTAGAAAAGTTGTCATGAGTAATTTCTGTATCTTACGAGTAAGTATCGGGGAATGTGTAAGGTTGTGTTGAAATGCAGTCACGTGTAATTTCTGTATCTTACGGGTAAGTATCGGGAAACTTGTCACTAGGTTTTGGTATGTTTTACTGGGAAATATGTATGGGAGATTTATGACATTTGCGTTGATGTAAAACGATCGGACTTTATCGAGTCCGGGGTGTTACTAAGGTTCTTCAAATCAGAAGGAACGGTATATGGCCCACATTACAATATCTTATCTAGCGACTGCCAGATTATTATGAAATTAATTTAAGATAATTAATTACTTTACTAAAACAACTAAATCATAAAACAAACTCAATTACAATAAAAAAAGAGAGTAAGTGTTTCCTGCTACCTACACCCGCCTTGTAAATCTTGGTCAAAACCAAGTAATGTCAGGTTCTTAAATGAACAGTGTGTACAACAGGACCGCTGGTAATCTAATGGCGACCACTAGATAATCTAATGGTGACCGCTAGTAATATAATGGCGACCGCTAGATAATCTGTTGGTGACCGCTAGTAATCTAATGGTGACCGTTAGTAATCTAATGGTGACCGCTAGTAATATAATGGCGACCGCTAGATAATCTGATGGTGACCGCTAGTAATCTAATGGTGACCGCTAGTAATCTTATGGCGACTGCTAATAATCTAATGGTGACTGCTAGTAACCTAATGGTGACCGCTAGTAATCTAATGGTGACTGCTAATAATCTAATGGTGACCGCTAGTAATCTAATGACGACTGCTAATAATCTAATGACGACCACATTGGTAGCCTAATGGCAGCCGCAAGGGAATCTAATGGCGACTACATAGGTAATCTAATGACGGTCGCTAGGTAATCTAATGACGGTCGCTAGGTAATATAATGGCGACTACATAGGTAATCTAATGACGGTCGCTAGGTAATCTAATGGCGACTACATAGGTAATCTAATGACGGTCGCTAGGTAATCTAATGGCGGTCGCTAGGTAATCCAATGGCGGCCACATAGGTAATCTAATGACGGTCGCTAGGTTATCTAATGGCGGTCACATAGGTAAACTAATGGCGGTCGCTAGGTAATCTAATGACGGTCGCTAGGTAATCTAATGGCGGCCACATAGGTAAACTAATGGCGGTCACATAGGTAACCTAATTGCGGTCGCTAGGTAATCTAATGGCGGTCACATAGGTAAACTAATGGCGGTCGCTAGGTAATCTAATGGCGGCCACATAGGTAACCTAATGACGGTCGCTAGGTAATCTAATGGCGGCCACATAGGTAATCTAATGACTGCATCCAGGTAGTATAGTGGCGACTTCTTGGTTATGTACTGTCGACCACCAAATAATTAATGATTGTCGCTAGATAGAATTAGTTCACTTTTAAGATTTATTTGTATAATAGGCCTAATACGCTTCCGTAGAAGCTATCCAAACTATATTTAGCCCAAGAATCATATACATGTTAAGTGTATACAAGTTGTTTCCGGTCTATTTCTATTACACTTTTCCAGAATCAGTTCGTTTATAAACACTTGAACTTTGAGCATTTCGAGAAGTGTGATAAAGTTGTAAAGTTACTCATATATACATTGAACTGAATATATTGTGAAAAAACCATGTGGTAATATCAAACGGTGTCTATTGATCTAACGATTTAAAAGAAAACTACCACTGTAGCAACATACTTGACAGTGACATCATCCCGAAGTATATTAAGCAGGCGTTTATCAAAATAGCCAACGTTTAATTGATATATAAAGTAAAACCAGGTTATTGTGTTAACTGTAATTAGACCCGGGCACTGTTAAACTAACCAGTTTAGTCTTCGCTTTCAGGCTGTCGAAATCATCCTTGTGAATATATTCATCATTACGTTAATTATAAACCTACCTCTTATTCCACACTCGGCAGCAGTGGACACACAGACTAATGGCGATCACGCCGAGCAGTGAGCCCACCACTCCTACAGTGACGTAAACCTTGTTGAGGGTGTCTGTGGAAAGGACAATACCATCAGAACTGCCAGGACTGCGGAACTCTGAAACAAAACTCTAAATCTGCATTTTATCACGCTTTGAGCAAATTATCTTCTAAACATTCACCAATCAACATTTTAATGTCAAATCAATAGACGATAGCGAGAAGCAGACAGCAACATAGAATCCATACCATTTCTTCCAACAGTTTTAAAACATTCTTTGCGATATCGAATGTGATGAACGAAGGCATTTGGCATTGATGTACTTTAACACCACATGTAAATTCTTTGAAATAAAATAAAAATAAAAACAATAGTGATAGAATTGCGAATTTCTCACTTAAGTCAAGTGTGACTGTAGACTTGAACGATATGCGGTCGTCAGGGGTTGACTGCAGAGATCTACTCAGTGCTTCAGCGCTAAGCTTATCGTTTAGTAACGATACAGTGTCAATCTGGACTGAGCAAACGTCCTGATCATAAACGATATCAAACTTCTGGTTCCTTTAAGTATTCTAGAACTCCTAGTTACTACCACTGTAGCCTATCTAAACTTACCTGTGACAATAGTGTGAGTCTTCTGAATTATCTCGCAAAACTTCCCCCCAAAACCGTCCTTACACAGACAGAGGAATCCCTTGGGCGTTGCCACACATTCCCCGTGCTCCTTACACGGTAGAGACTCGCATTCCTCGATTTCTATGAAAACGAAAGCAACATCACATCAAATAATGGCGAAATATCAACAGCAAAAATAACAAACACCATTGTTACTTTTTATTTATCACAGTTTTTTTTGGGGGGGGGGGATTTTGATTATAAAAAAAGAAGTTTATCAGCCAGTATTAATGTTAAAGGGCTTATTTATGTGTTTGTGAGAATACATAACAGTAATGCAGAAACAAGAAAATTCCAAAATTGTCAAATATTTCACCAATGAATGAAGAATTCATGCATCAGAATACACAATGACGGATTATGAACACAAAGGTCCAGCCAATATTACCTCGCTCACAACGCTTCCCTTGAAAGCCAATTTTACAGTCACATCGGAAACTGGGTTGTTCGTTTCTCTTCCATGTACAAATTCCTCCATGAGCACAAGGACTGGTTACACATGGATTTCCAACAGCATCTGTACATACATGTGTAAAATAATCAAAATTTGTTGTTCATTCTTAAATGGTACCAGAAAGATTGAAGTAATAAGCTGTTTCATGATGGTTGTTTTAGACCGGCAAACTGAATGTTTTCGTTATATTGTGTCTGTAAACATGGATGGATAAAAACTGAAAAAAAATGAAAACTTTTTTTATTTTGTATAGGTAATCGGAAGATAACTTCAGTTTACTCAAATGTAATTGTAGGTATCCCCCATAACCGATTCAAAATAGAAAATTCATTCTTAAATTTTGACTACATACAAAGTAAGTTCTGTCCAACTATCGTTTTGACAGAACACACACATAAAAAATGTCGCTAGCACGCAGCAACATATATTCCTATTCTATGGGAGTAGGATATTGTGAAAGAAAGTTGGTTGATTTTCAACACTCACGATGAACTTTTTTTAAAACCTTTTTATCGATTCACTTGTTTAAAGAACTGTTCACTATTATTCCCCTTTGTGCCTTTTGTACAATTACTGTTGACGTTATTTTGACCATCTATTTATTAATACGTTGCAGTATGTCAAATAAAGGTATTTCCTCATGTGATAATGAGATTTTGTACGATTGGTGCTCACTGAGCAATACAGATATCACAGCACGGCACAAGCAAATATTGTGTTTCGTTGATCTTTAACAGCAGTTGTATATTTAGACAACAACTAGAAATTGTAAGTGCAGTCATGTTATTTTAATTTCGCCATGAAGAATCGTTAACTAAGTCCGAATTACAAAAATAAACTATCACATAAATTCTTTTTCTTTCGTGACAGGACGGAGAAATCAGATACCAGGGAACTGTAGGAAGAACGATAACTCCTACATTGTTAAGAATAATGACGTAGATTGATTAAAACATTGACACTGTAAGAAGAACCCAAATTACATAATACATGTTTAGATCGGCATTGTCGTTGATGATATACCACATCTTCTGGAAACCTCACACTTATTTGAGGACGATGTACAACTTTTACCTCCTCGAAATCCAAATTCTTTCCCTGTCTCTAAGGCTTGTGATAATTTCTTTTCTCTCTCTGTAATCAATAAAGCAGTCACTATGGGTAATATATATGTTTGGTATAAAACTGGAAATTTTGAAATCACATGTCTGTAAAACATGGTAATTCATATAAATGTGTATACATTGTAAATATATATATGTTATATTAAAAAAAAAAGAAGAAAAACCAAAAAAACAAAAACAAAACAAAAAACCCGTAGATTAGAAGTTAGGAAACAATTTTTAACAGAGTAGTCAATGTGTAAGATAATAAATTACTAGAATCTGAAATCTCAGCTGTGAATCTTAACATATTGAAAAGCAGACTGAATACAATATGAAAGTACAAAAAACACTTCACATGCCGTCCGGAACCGGAACGAATATCTAGTGAAGGGTCAGAAAATCTAGGTTAAATCTATGTCACAGGTAACCGTGTAGTGCCTTATCACTTCTCTATAATAATTCCGTCCCGTAGTTACATACACTACATACATAACATGTTAGACATTGTTTTCGGTTACCTATGTCATCTGTGATTTTTCTTTTTCTGCTTTTTCTGTGTTTTTTCCGACGTCGGCTGTGTTGCTTTCTGATATTTTCAGAAACTCGTTTAAATCCTTCGTCATCTAGGCTTAAGTTTCCAGAAGGAGACCGCTTTCTTCTTTCGGGGAGGCTGACTAATTCAAAGTATTCGTCATAGTCGTTTTTAGCATCGTAATCATTAACGTTAGTAAGTTCTTTCGTTTTCGCTTGTGCAACATTATTCACAAGTCGAGAATGTGCAATAAACAGTAAAACAATTATTGGAAACCATTTCAACGTATCGTCTACAGACATGGTCGGCCATATTGTTTCTGTCGTCAAAGTGACATGACGTCATTTTGCTGTGACGTAGTTTCACTTCCGGGCCATCGTAAAGGTCAGAATATTTGTCAGGTGAGACCGAAAACATGTAGCCTTACCAATCATGAATTTAAGAACACAGCAACTCTAAAACAAATACATATACAACTAAATACCAAAAAAGGGCAATATATTTATTCAGGGGATTTTAAAGACTTTTCAAGTCAATGATCAATTCAGTTTGGCAGTATTAGTACAAAATCTATGTTCAGTGTCTTAATATGACTGAGTTAGGCGGCGCCCCGAAAGAGTGAAACTTACACGCCACAATGACATTCTCGGTTGAAAGTTTCAGGAAAAAATAATACACCAATATTTTTGGTTCACTGATTAGTGCTTCAAGAAACGCAGACAAATTAGCGCGCGACTTACCGATCGAACACTTGTTGACGTTCGGTGTGCTTGTGCTTGTTTGATTTTTTTTTTTTTTTTTTACTTTTACATACCTGTCCCTGTAACCTTGAAAGTAATTCAATGTCATTTATATGGGAAAACGTGACTGATAGCCAAAATAATAGGGTCCTAGTTTCCTGGTGATATTAGAATTTGAAGTTATAGTGTTTGTAAATAAGAATGGCGCCATCTTGAGATGAACTATTAGGCCTACAACTCCTTAATCCCACAGATGCAAAGAGTTTACAAATCGATTGTTTTAGGTTTCCGGCCCAATACTTAAATTTGTTTTTGTACGACCTTAAATTTCGTTGGCATGTTTAATTGCTTTGCCTGCCCCATCTCGGCCTTACCATGTATTGAATAATCAAAATCAAAATTAATGGGTCGTTACACAAAAACCTGTGACCTAGTTACCATTGTAACTACCATTCTTAAAAACCTTTATATTTAAATATTTAGCATCATCATACAATATCTCAATTTCGACCAATCAGAAGCCACTTTGATGCTTCCCTATTAATGGTTCTGGAAATACCTGATATGTCAAATTATAAGCTTTGATAAGTAACACCACTTGATCAAGTTGATGCAAGGGCTGATGAGCTATGGACTATTTCACAAAAAGACTACTGTATAGTGACCTGGTTACCATGACAACCAAACTTTCTGCAGAAAAAAAAATCCTGTATGCACACCCATGCTTTGTACTTTCATTGAAATTGGTTTGCAAGTTAAAGAGGAGTAGTCCAGAATGAGTTCCTTTTATCCCCAAGTGCATTATAGTCGAAACCAACCTTTCATCCTTTTTATAACACTAAAAACTGATCTAATCACTGATCTTCGGATTTATAAGCTGTGTGTCTCATATTTAAGGGTTTGACTTTTGGCGGATATATTGCATTATTTTTATACATAATCCCCTACAGTATCTACACACTTTTGCCACCAATGTTTAAGGACCTAAATGCCACTTTTAATGAAGTCCGTTTTTGACGGTTCAGAAAGTTCTCCACAGCATGTATGACGTCATCACCTAACCGAAAGTGGGTACCCGAAATGGCCTTTTTCATTTTCGGAAATAGATGAAAGTCTGATGGAGCTAGATCAGGCTCAATCATTTCAAAACCCCAATCGTTCATGGAAGCCATGGCAATGACAGACTTGTTAACAGGGGCATTGTCCTCGCGGAATAATCAACCTTTGCTGAGTTTTCCGCGGCGCTTGAGTTCAATATCTTCTCTTATTTGCCTAGGAAGTGATGCATATTATGCGGCGTTGATTATTTGTCCTCATTGCAGATAATCTACCATCAGAATACCACCCCATCACAGATAACCTTTCCAGTTGAAGTCTTTGTCTTCTTTAGCGGGGTGAACCAGGTTGGTTCCATTGTTTAGACTGATTTTTTAATTCTGTGGTGAAATAATGGACCTACCTTTCATCCATAGTCACAAACCTTTCCAGAAGGTTAGCATGATCTGCATCTAAAAGGTTCAGATTAGCACGCGACAAAGTCCGCCCGGTGTGTTTCTGCTTGACTGTCAGAAGTCTTGTTACCCAACGGACTGAAAACTTTCTCATTGCAAGATCTTCCGTAAGATCGAATGTATCCTTTCCTTTGAAATCCCAACTGCACTGGCTATACATATCTCTGTAACTCGCTTCTCTGTCATAACAATATCATGGACTTTTAGCAGGCCTTTTAGGATGGCGTCATCCCCAAGGCTCTGCCTTCCATGTTGAAATTCCGCCACCTACTTTATCACTGTAGCAAATGAAGGGGGACACCATTCCCTAGTGTTGCTACCCTATCAGTATGGATATCCATAGATGCTAGACCTTTTTCATGCTAACACTGAATCACTGCTCTTTCAGAAATTTTGTCTATTTGGCAAAAGTCATTTTTGAGTGCAACCTCTTCGACATAAACTGACCAAATGACACCAGTCTTGGGGTACACAGCCTTAAATATCCTGGGAATAGTAGAGCTGAAAAAGGACATCCCCTGTTTAACTTCTTAAATGCCAGAGTCAAAACTTATCAATCAGTCCTTGAATCCTGCTGCTGATTACTTTTTTTAAAGATGCTGTTTTAATTAAAATGTTGACAGACAGGAGAATGACAGATGCTTCAACATACCAAAAGATGTCACTCTGTGCCATGTAAACTAAAACTAACAAGAATCTCACAGGAAAGATTCAATCAAATTACATACTTTATTTATAAACAATGATTCATGACGACAGCAATGGTTGCATTACTTCATTACACAATCATCCTTCACATTTCTCTAATGTAAAATCACCTAACATTCAAATAAATTAATCATATCAAGCATTCACATATACTCTGAAATCTCCATTACATACAAGCCAATTGGTCATTAAAATAAAACGTTTATCACATATATTTTGATATATTTGTCACAATTAAAACATCAAGCAATCACACTTTGTAGTACACCCTATGTATCATATTATCAATGTACATTTCACAGTAAGTCTAAAGAATTCTAAACACCAGATCCCATATGGATCTTGGCACCCACCCAAGATGACCTGTTTTAGTTATATGTACACTTTAATGAAGTATGTTTCAATATGTCATGTGTATTTTTTTAATGTGTTTTATTTTTGTTTACTTTGCTCTAACAGAGTAATTGTTTAAAACTGATATGTGACAGAATCTCATAAAATCACTCAATATGGAAAGTTTACAAATCTTCAGTTGTAACAATAATAAAAAAAATAGCAATCATCCAGGTCTACGATTGATTAGTCTCAAAATTGATCAAATTTTGATCAATTGTTCTAAAGAAATAGCAATAAAAATTGGTTACCTCTAAAAATCCGAAATCGTACCTCTCATTCACCTGTCAAATGCTATTCCAATCTGTCATAAAACGAAACTGGCACAACTACCTTTATAGGGATCATTGTTTCAAATCTGTCTTACAATGTGTGAGATATCACCTAGTATTTCCTTAAAAACATCACTTTACGTACCCTACATATATATGTCCTACCCCCATTGTTACTTAAAAACACCACTCTGCTTACCCCTACATATATATGTCCTACCCCCATTGTTACTTAAAAACACCACTCTGCTTACCCCTACATATAAATGTCCTACCCCCATTGTTACTTAAAAACACCACTCTGCTTACCCCTACATATATATGTCCTACCCCCATTGTTACTTAAAAACACCACTCTGCTTACCCCTACATATAAATGTCCTACCCCCATTGTTACTTAAAAACACCACTCTGCTTACCCCTACATATATATGTCCTACCCCCATTGTTACTTAAAAACACCACTCTGCTTACCCCTACATATAAATGTCCTACCCCATTTTTACTTTAAAACACTACCACACTTATCCCTACATAAGTATGTCCTATCCCAATTGCTACTTAAAAACATCACTTCACTTACCCCTACATATATATCCTACCTCCATTGTTACTTAAAAACATCACTTTACTGACCCCTACATAAGTATGTTCTACCCCCATTGTACCCCTACATAAGTATGTTCTACCCCCTTTGTACCCCTACATAGGTATGTTCTACCCCGATTGTTACTTCTGACGGATTCTCCTCACATATGTAAATATAGAGATCAGATATGGTTTACTTTCTCTACAGGACACTAAGAGACCTGAGTTAACCTTTCTGTATATAACTTGAGTTAACCTTTCTGTATATAACTTGAGTTAACCTTTCTGTATATAACTTGAGTTAACCTTTCTGTATATAACTTGATATTTTTTATATTTAGCACTGGACGGTTAATATCCTCTTTAAGAAGACATCACATCAAATGTAACATCAAGACACATTGTACTTTATCAAATACAGTATGTTTCCTCATGTTCCATCTTAATTCTTCATGATATTTACCTTTTTCCAGTGAATATAATTATGATGATATAGACCTATGAAGTAATTTTACCCAACATCTTGGTCAATGGTTTTTTGCAGGTTTATAAAACAACACCTAACCCCAAATGAAGTACATAATCGGTAAACATTGTGCAAAAATCATGTAATCTAGAGAAGACAGCCCAATAGAAACTAAAACCAATTTATATACATACATCACATATCACAGATATTAACAATACCAATCTCAAATGTCCACTTGTACTTATAAGGACTGGAATGGAATGAAACAGGAGAGAACGTTGATGTCTATTGGTGAAACAATGCTGAGCAAAAGGACAAAACACCAAGACAAAAACCTACAACTTACCAACCAATAGAAAATGGAGCAGGAGAGAACACTTATATTCATTGGAGGGACAATGTTGAGGGACAGGAAGAGCCATGGAAATGAAAAAACATGCAACCATCCAAGTACAGGCCAGGTGAGAATATTTCAATTGATAAAGCTTTACTAGACACAATGTAAATGCTTTCTCTGGTTAACAATATCAGTGAAGGACATGTAATACTTTACAGGACAATAGTAATTATATTTAACTTCATGTAGCAAAAATTAAGTTCCAGATAAGCCAGGAGTTTTTCAAATCATATGTTTTATAAATATTTCAAAATCAAGCTTGTACAAAAGTCAAGTAAATCACAGAGAAACCGTTAGAAAATTTCATCATCAATAATGAAGCATTGATGCTCTACAAATATCCTTTTGATTCTAAATCTGACAGATTTGAATATAATTTATCTGCTTAAATTGTTCATGGCAATGAGGCAGCACATATACAAATATTGATAGGTAAGCAGAATCACTGAAATGATTGTCTACAAGACACAAAACACATACAATAAATCAGGGTTAATAGTTCAAAACAACTAATTAAAAACACCTTAACATCATCATTTTCTCTTAATACATTATTTAGTTAAACATATCAGAAAAAAGATGCAGTTATTACCTCCAAATCTGGTACAGAACAACCAACAAGTTCTATTATCACAACAAATTCCAGTTCTCTACTGACAATAAAAGTTGATTATAAAATTAGTACTTCAATTCTTTATATATCTGTAAAGTGATCATTGTCTTGATATCAGAATGTGATTTAATATATTGTGTATGAATGCTCTGATTATGTCTTGTGTTATTACTTCAACAGGATTGGTGACAGAACCATCAACTGGAGTGTATCCTATAAAACACAAGTTATCTCCCTTCATTCATTAACCCTCTCATGATAACATGATTGTGTACTAAAATGTCATATTTTAAGTAATCAATTCTGAAAAAAACTCACTTCAATCATTTCTGAGCGTGGGACTTATACTAACAATTGAAAGAGAGATAATCAACTATAATTATTCATCAGCTGAAAATGAAATTATGGAATCAGCATAATTGCTGTGGGGTTGCTTGTAGTACAAAGCAATACCCCTGTTAAGTGCTTCAGTATTATCCTTAAATAAAGTCTGTTGTGATCCATCAAACTGTATTCCAGATGTCATGCACCAACTGTTCTGTGTTCATACCTCATTAATTGGTGATGGAGAATTTGGCACAATATACGGGTTTTCATTCTGTAACACGACACTTATCGGTTTTGCCTGAAAATGAGTATAACAAGAGAGTCATAAAGGGATCATACAATAGCAGTTATAGAACAGATTAGCTCACCTCCTAAAATATTTGTTAATAACAAATGAAACAGACCAGGAATCATAACATTTTATTTGACAAAAAAATTTACTCCAAAACCTATCAATAAGGTTTCCCCCTTCTAAGTAATTGTTTTGTCTAACTCAAGGAAAAAATAATTAAATATCTAAGAACAATGAAACATGTACCAAACATCAGTGCACTGGCATATAATAAATATACGAATATCTTTTAAGACTTTTGCCGAAATCTAATCATTAAAAAACCAATGCTGATACTGAGGGGCATCTTCTGAGAGGTGAGCTAAAAATTAAATACACACAAATATCCTTCCAAAATTGTATTCTAAATTCCTGCTGTCTATATCCTGAATATTTATACCTTTTAACCATTTTACCACTGCAGACTTAAGACCTTGTCATACATATTCATTCTGGATTCAATTAATTTCTTCCTTAAGTAACTAAATCTAAAACTTTGACATCAGCCTGGCTTTAAAACTTTACCTTCTTCTCCTGAACATCCTTGTCAACAACCAATGCACAATAAAAGGCCAAACAAACACAAAGAAAAAAGTCCTCCCAGTCAATGAAGGAAACGGCCACCACTGTGAGTTCTACAAAGAGAAAACATTTAATTTGTGCAAGAAAAATTGTCTCTACCACATAAAATTAAGATTCTCTGTAACTGGTTATCATTCATATTAAAAAAACAATCACCACAAAGGTAGTGTTTTACCATCTTATACAATGGTAGACACATGTTTCTTAAAAATCCCAAACATTTCTATTTCAGTTCTTGTGAGGCACACTCCACCAATAAGCACTCTGCTGTAACATACACTCCCCTTCTATGAGTCAGTCACACAGTCATATTATTATGACTCCTGTAATAAGAAACACCCAAGCCGTTACCCCGTTGTAAGTCCTTAGTAAGACACACTAGATAGGTGAGAGTGGTTCATGTTTGATTAAATATAATGTTCCAGTGACATGAAGTGAAGGACAGAGAGCCTGGACAAGGTAGCAGAAGGATGGACAGATGGTCACAAAGGAGGACCCATCCCCATTCTCCTATCAGTTCCTGGTGGGAGCCTTATAATATATGAAATGTGTGTGAATACTTACCCATATGGATCTTGGTGTTTTCTGGTCACCCTGAAAACAATCAAGCTTTAAATCTTTATACAGTAACATTTGCATGGACTAAAGGTTTAGACTTGGTACATTAGTATTAGACATCTATCCGCATATCAATGTTAAATATTCACCCCTTTTCTCCATGAACAAGGCAGGTGGTTTTAAGATGAGGGTTAAAATTTGCTACATTTATCTTACATATCACTTTAATATAATCCTGAGAGGGCTAAATGAACATGAAGCAAATATAACACGTTGCACAGTAATCATACCTGCTACATCATTAAATAACAGCAATGTTAGTTACAATCAAGAAATAATCAAGATTTAATTCTAATCTGCTACAATTTTATACACTGAATTTGAAAAGAATTTAAATTGTACATTTGTATTTGAACAGGATCCACCCTTTTTTCAGACAGACAACAGATTGTCCTAAAAAGATCTTTTCTTATTTATTTTTTTTTTTTAGTGACAAACACATCACTCACTGGCTCTAACTCTCATATTTCTATTATTAAAAGGTGGACCTGAACAAGAGCCAATCACCCCTATAGACGTTCTGTACCCACCACACCTATCTAACATAAATACCTGTGATCTGTACCCCACCATACCTATATAACATAAATACCTGTGATCTGTACCCACCATACCTATATAACATAAATACCTGTGATCTGTACCCCACCATACCTATATAACAAATGCCTGTGATCTGTACCCACCACACCTATATAACATAAATACCTGTGATCTGTACCCACCATACCTATATAACATAAATACCTGTGATCTGTACCCCACCATACCTATATAACATAAATACCTGTGATCTGTACCCCACCATACCTATATAACATAAATACCTGTGATCTGTACCCCACCATACCTATATAACATAAATACCTGTGATCTGTACCCCACCATACCTATATAACATAAATACCTGTGATCTGTACCCCACCATACCTATATAACATAAATACCTGTGATCTGTACCATACCCCACCATACCTATATAACATAAATACCTGTGATCTGTACCCCACCATACCTATATAACATAAATACCTGTGATCTGTACCCCACCATACCTATATAACATAAATACCTGTGATCTGTACCCCACCATACCTATATAACATAAATACCTGTGATCTGTACCCCAACATACCTATATAACATAAATACCTGTGATCTGTACCCCACCATACCTATATAACATAAATACCTGTGATCTGTACCCCACCATACCTATATAACATAAATACCTGTGATCTGTACCCCACCATACCTATATAACATAAATACCTGTGATCTGTACCCCAACATACCTATATAACATAAATACCTGTGATCTGTACCCCACCATACCTATATAACATAAATAATGTGATCTGTACCCCACCATACCTATATAACATAAATACCTGTGATCTGTACCCCACCATACCTATATAACATAAATACCTGTGATCTGTACCCACCATACCTATATAACATAAATACCTGTGATCTGTACCCACCATACCTATATAACATAAATACCTGTGATCTGTACCCCAACATACCTATATAACATAAATACCTGTGATCTGTACCCCACCATACCTATATAACATAAATACCTGTGATCTGTACCCCACCATACCTATATAACATAAATACCTGTGATCTGTACCCCAACATACCTATATAACATAAATACCTGTGATCTGTACCCCACCATATCTATATAACATAAATACCTGTGATCTGTACCCATCATACCTATATAACATAAATACCTGTGATCTGTACCCCACCATATCTATGTAACATAAATACCTGTGATCTGTACCCCACCATACCTATATAACATAAATACCTGTGATCTGTTACCCACCATACCTATATTACATAAATACCTGTGATCTGTACCCCACCATACCTATATAACATAAATACCTGTGATCTGTACTCCACCATATCTATATAACATAAATACCTGTGATCTGTACCCCACCATACCTATATAACATAAATACCTGTGATCTGTACCCCACCATACCTATATAACATAAATACCTGTGATCTGTACCCCACCATACCTATATAACATAAATACCTGTGATCTGTACCCACCATACCTATATAACATAAATACCTGTGATCTGTTTTGAAGCACTTTAGACTCCACTGTGTCCAGACGGGCAAGTACTCGGTTCATGTCCTGTTGTAATCGAGTCAATGTCAGTGCCAGCTGGTCATTACCCATAGACTGTGGCCTGGATTCATTCTGGTCACCCCTACCACTGCTGGATGTTGTGGGAATAGCTCCACCCTGACCAGTGAACAAACCTGTGCACAAAATGGAAGAGAATGCTTACTTCTGAAGCAAATACAGAATAACAAATAATTCTCTACTTAATACTATTGTATATATTTATACAATTTGAGTATACATACATAAAATCAAATGATGGTAACTTCTGGACTATAGAGTATTAAGTCTTATCATACATAATTTACTTCAGCATTGCAGTCCGTTTTATCTTCCCTTCAGTGAACTACAATAAGAAAAAATGTTCCATTTGTATTTTGATACCTCTTGCAAGCCGCATAACAAAGTCAATTACGTAATAAAACACAGATGAAGTAAAAATTTTACCTCACATAATGATTCAATATAACATTAATAGTATATATACTACTGGATTAGTGATCTGCTGTCACATGAAATACTGTATTTTACAACAGCTTTTTCACAATCTTGGAATGGACTGAGGAAAGTTTTGTCATTATTTATCTTTTCAAACCTTACCACTAAATTTTCCTAAATAACCTTTTATCTTAGTGCAGTGTTTTTATATAGTATTTTAAACACTCTCTTTGCTGATGTCTACTTTATTTACCTGTCCGGGTCCCTGTTCTAGTTGGCTGATTCCTGGTGAATGGTCTCCCCTGGTCATTTCTTCCTCCGTGTGCACCAAGTGTTTCTGAATGTCCAGGTAGTGAATTATCCAATGAACTTACTGACCTGTCCAGGGAACTGATATCTTGTACACTCTCTAAGGACACATTTTGTGAATCAGGTGAAGCACCATGCGTCAACATACTGTCAGATAAGTGTCTTGTGTTGCCATTTACAGCATGGAATGGAAAAGAAGATGGAATGTTCAATTGCTCATTGGTATTGAGATTTGATTTGGATATTGGGGACATGACCTGCTGGGTGATTTTGTTTCCAGAATGAACTGTCATACTGTTGTTGAAATGGACGTGGTTACCAGCCTTGTTTGGTTTTATTGGGGTGGACACCTGACCAGAGGCTGTTTGACTGGCCATCACATCCTCTACTTCACGAGGTGGTGAATCTGAGTCCTAAAGGGAGAGAACTCACAATTAATAAATTCTGTCCAATAATAACCATGGCTTTCATTGCACAATAAAAGTCACAAAGATAAAATATGTTTAGATGTCCAGACAGCTTATACTACTTTAAATTTCAGGTTGAAAGCAATGATATTGGCCTGAAGCTTATCATGTAATAGTAAAAGGACTAGCATTTAAACAATGAAGTGAGTTCAAATCAATTGCCTTTATTCACTTTCAAGGTATGTCAGAGGGGATTAAAACACATTTAGAAGTGATGTTTCTTTTCCAGCATACATGAATCAAGCATTTTTAATTTTTAATTCATCTATTTCAAAAAAGAACAAAAACAAACAAAAAACATGACGTAGTTTGCTCTGATGTTGAAAATACCTGTGATGGATGGTCAGAAGTATCGCAGAATTCCTCTTCACTCTCACTGTTGGTCATCACATCCTCCACACCAGTGGTCAGTAGTGGTGATGATACTACAATAACAACATATAAAGGTAAACTCTCTACTATTAAGATGATGTAGGTTGACTTTCTTTGGCATTTTGTTTTCCAAGAAACTAATTTATCATAAATACATCAAATATGGTTCTATATACCATCTGCGAATTGCTGGAACTGGTCAGTGAGAGCCTCACTTCTCCTTAGGCTTTCTTCCAGTTCATCGTCTCTTTGGTCTTCAGGACTCTCCTGCTCCAGGCCTTCCTCCTCCAGTTGATGCGCTATATCAACACGCATAGAGTGATCAAGATCAATATCCTCATGACCACCTGTTGGTAAGGAACAAACCGTCAACTTAGAGGTGTGTTACAAGATAATACATACAAGGACACAAGACATTTGGAGACAGATTTTCACTAAAATGTAGCCTTTATTAGTTTTCTTATGAAGAAAAGGATGATCAGAGAAGCTTTGTATAAATACTACTTTTGTTTCATTCTGAAGTCCCCGTAATCTGTCTATCAATACAACGACAGTTTATAGGTGGTGAAAGCACCAGATGGAAAGAGAGAGAGAGTGGTACACAAACCCTGTTAATGGTGTCATACCTTCCAAACGTCACTACCTACAAACCCTGTTAACAGTGTCACTGCCTACAAACCCCGCTAATGGTGTCATACCTTCCAGTGTCAGTACCTGCAAACCCTGCTAATGGTGTCATACCTTCCGGTGTCACCACCTACAAACCCCGCTAATGGTGTCATACCTTCCAGTGTCAGTACCTACAAACCCTGCTAATGGTGTCATACCTTCCAGTGTCACCACCTACAAACCCCGCTAATGGTGTCATACCTTCCAGTCTCACCACCAACAAACCCCGCTAATGGTGTCATACCTTCCAGTGTCACCACCTACAAACCCTGCTAACAGCGTCATACCTTCCAAGGTAAAATCCTGCAAACCCTGTTAACAGTTTCATACCTACCAGGATTGATTCTTAAAAACTCCGTTAAAGGTGTCATACATTCTTAGGTCACTACCTATAAACCCCATTAAAAGATAACATACCTTCAAGTGTCACTACATAAAAACCCCATTAAAAGATAACATACCTTCAAGTGTCACTACATAAAAACCCCATTAAAAGATAACATACCTTCCAGTGCCACATCTTTTGATGTAGGCATCTTCTCATCAACAACTTCATAGAAATCTTCTAGTTTGACCATGAAATCCCTCACCACCTGGTCCTGGGGCATGGTTTCCACTATCTATGAAGAAAAATCAGTATGAGTAGGGCTAAAAAATGGTTAAGATGGAAATGTATGAGAATACCTTGAATAAATTATCACTTTAAAGTATGACTGAACTGCAGTAATTTGTATGTTGGTTATGGCAATTAGTGTGGGTATACAAAATCCTTATTTCCAAAATTTGATAATGTGCTGAAATTTTATAGTTTTTTTACAGTAGGAAACAAAATCCATGTTTAGCTTAAATGACTTTTGTTTGAAACCTTTATCAAGAAAATGACCAGCAACACACCTGAACAGCTAACTTTGTAACTTTGATGACTTTAATGTATAAATGATAAAAGAAAAAGATGTGAATGAAAGGTCAATTTGATAACACTTTGGTCAGTAGGGTGGACCAAGTTCATGAGAGTTTATGGACCACATGGAATGCCCTTATTTAGAAATGATCTACCATGTATTCTGATGACTTCTTTTACACCACCCTTTGCTTCAATGGATTGCATATTTCATCTCCGTCTCTCAGGCCCCTGAGGGGTGGGGACCATATAATTCAATATTTTAGTTCATCTCAGGCTAGGGAAGGTTTCTGCTTAATTTCATTGAAATCAGTTCAGGGTTTATTGAGAAGACGTCAAAAATGTTAAAATTGTTAACAGACACACGACACCAGAGGTGACCGCAATATGTCCCCATGAGATTTAGTCTAAAGTGACCTAAAAATCTGATGCGTTTTGAATAGAAGGTATACACATTAAACCAAAAAGGTTAACTTTAATATTTTATGCATACTCTGGAATTTCAGGGTTGTTGTTTTGCCATGGAAAGGATACACAAAACGTCCTCTGAATTGTTTTAGATAACCATTTTATCTTTGAATGGATTTTATGATTTTTTGCAACATTTAAATTGTTGGACATTTTGAATAATCCTAAGACAGATACCCTTTAACATGTTTATAGTGTTCCTGAATGATTCCGTTAATTTTCTGGCTATGTCTAATTGATTTGTATTGATACAGATAAACATTGCTGGTCATTTTCTAATGAAGGTAACAGAGAACAATCACTGATTACTAACTGGTTCAGAAGTTTGAAATTTAAATAACGTATACATTGACTGCTAAAACAGACATTGTCTGATTATTTGTATCTAAATAAGGTTTAGTTTCTATTTTAAGTGGTCAAGGAGAATCAGCCTTTCCTCTTTAAAACTGATACTAAGACAGACAATTATCTCAATCCATCAATCAATACTCATGATATTCAGTAAACAGTAATATCAACATTCCAATTACTTCGTCTTAAAATGTAAACAGATAAAAAATTTTAAAATTCGTCTTAAAATGTAAACAGATAAAAAATTTTAAAATTTGACAAACTTCTTGATTTAAACAAGAAGTCAACTGTCTGAGAGCCTTGCTTGCATCACTAACATACATGAAAATTTGAAAGTGTTGCTGGAATCTTTACTAGTGAAATATATGGAGTACTCTGGAAGGCTAAGCCAAAGGAATGACAATGTATATATTTGATAATCATTTAACTTTTGTCCTCAACAGGGTAAGCATGCATTACCATCACCGTGAAGTTGAATTCTACCCAGTCGTTTGGATGAAGATGAAGATTGCACATAAAATCTCACAATATTAGTCTTCTTGAAAACCTTGATATGAAACTAAGGTTTTATAAAATATATAGAGGAAACTTGTGTAAAAGATATGAAGAAGTCCCTACCCCTTTATCTCCATTCTCATTCATTTGACGCAATTTTTCTGTGCAAATTTTGATACTCTGAAAGGTAACATTAAAGATAGTATTAGGTGAAATGTAATATTTAAAATATCAGTATTAGTAAAACTTAGTAATACATACACCCATATCAAGCTGCAGTATTTCTATCAAATATCAATAGATATTCATGTTGTCATTTTGACAGGTATAATTCTGATTTGTTTGTTTGATAGTGGACAAGTTTAAAATGAATTTACAAGAAAAATATTTTCCAGTTACCAATTTTTCATTCCCTTTGGCCAATACCATTACACAAAAAATGATTTAATGCTATATAGAAAAGGATAACCATTTGGTAAGTTATCATGATAAGAGGAGAAAGCTCTCTGCAGGCTAATTCAGTGGTAAGTTATCATGATAAGAGTAGAAAGCTCTCTGCAGGCTATTTCAGTGGTAAGTTATCATGATAAGAGGAGAAAGCTCTCTGCAGGCTATTTCAGTGGTAAGTTTTCATAAGAGAAGAAAGCTCTCTGCAGGCTATTTCAGTGGTAAGTCATGATAAGAGGAGAAAGCTCTCTTGCAGGCTAATTCAGTGGTTTCTTGATTCCTGATTTATGTAGTATGATCAGATGCTACAGGTCAATATTAAACTTAGAAAAATAGAAATTTCAATCCAGATTTGATTTTATCCATTACACTGTAGCATATTCATTTCTAATGAACACAGATCACTTTCATTATCACCACAGATGTTTTGTTGACCTATGTCCTCACAACAACCAAGGAGTGTACACATTTACATAATGTAAATGTATGATGAGGTTATAATAGGTCAATACAAGAAGCACATACAAATCAGACCGATTCCACAGGTACAAGACAGTTACACACCTGGTACTCTTCAACAGACTGTCCTCTCTTTATATACATATCTACAACCACATACTTCCTTATGGCAGAACTAAAGATTTGTGGTTGATCAATTGATAGGTTCAAACATCAGAAATTCACAGACTCCCAAGTACGTTAGATGCAGAAACTGTACTGTGATGAACAGTTGCTGACCTAACTTACTTCAAACCATCTGGAACACTTAACACTCAAACAACAAATAAAAAGCTTGATTACAGCAAATAAATACCCTACAATTTTAAAGCTCTGAAAAATAAAAACTGGCAAGGTATTAAGCATCAACAACCAAGAACAAAAAAGTGAGTTTAAAATACCTTGTGGATAGACTTTTAGGTTTAGAGAAAACATGAATATACAAACAAACTTAAGCATAAGGAGATGGTTGCACAGTAGAAAATTTAACAATATATAGGTCGTTTTACCACTTAGATATTGAAATCTAAACTCATGTGATTAATTCATTCAACACTGAACTAATAAGTACATTCAATGATTTAGTCATTTTTATATTCTGAGATTTCACAAACAAAACACCGTGTGGCTACCTGAAGAAAGTAAGATTAAGCTAAGCATGCTTAAATAATTGTGTAAGAAACAAATTTTTAATCAGAGAAATAACTACCAATAGCATTGGGACCTTAACCCCTTGATCTTTAGGTAGAAGGGGTGTAATGAAAAAAAATTCAAACATTAATAAAACATGGATATTTGAGACCCTTTATCTTTGAGGCATCTTTTTCACAAACTTTGAGGAGTTTCTGTCCACAGGGTTAAAAGATATAGGCATATGCATTGTTGTGTCCTCATACTCTGGATTTTACTTCAACAACAGAGAGGGTTCACTATTTATAGTGACATTTTCTCAAATGTACGTAACATTTATAGCATGTTTTATTCTAAAAACTTTCTATATAAGTTTTATAGCTTTTCAAATAAAACAACTGTATTGGACTTTGTGTTGATATTTGTTAAAAGCAATAATAAGTTGTTGTATAGGGACTGACCTTGCTAAATGAATGACCTTACTTTAAAATACATGTATTATGCCAGAGAACAAATACATCAGTGCTGCCTGCAAGAAAGGTTCTTCCACCAACACTATCTTACAGAGGAAACTGAAGACCTGCCCAGTTGATGTAATGTTGCTTGCTACAACATCTTATTCTGCCTTAGCATCAAGTATGGATCTGTCATCTGGAGTCCACATACTCAGTCAAACGTCAGTAAGCTGAAACAGGTCCAGCGAAAAGTGGCCTGGTATGTTATGGACAACCGTCGCAGGTACAAGAGTGTCACAACCACACTCAAGATGATCGGCTGGCACACTATGTAGGAGTGGAAAATCCAGGCCCAGCAGGCTGGCACACTATGTAGGAGTGGAAAATTCAGGCCCAGTAGGTTATACTTTATATGAGATTCTTCATGGTGTTATCGACATATGTTTGGATCCACACCTTCTGCATGCAACATCAACAACATGGATCTGAAGACACAACCTCTAGATGACAGTACGTCCATCCCACATCAAGAACAAAAACGCACCAGCACTTGTTCTTTCAAGCCACAGTGAGGACGTGGACCTAGTTACCAACAGCAGCTGTGACAACAACCTTGTTTTTAGTTGTACATTGGCTATCAAGGATAGTTTTTATATGTAAGTCCTACTATGCATGAAGTGTGCAACAATATTCCATCAGGAATGATACACCTGATATCAAAGAAGAACAGAGTTGGCCTAGTTCTACCACAATGATGTACTGCTTTAGAAATGGCATATCACACAGATTATAACTAATATGAAGTTTTATATTTTATATATTGTGCTGATTAGGCCTAAATCAATGCAACTTTTAACATACCAGTACCTACATATTTGTATTCATAACAAGACAAAGTATTGCATTCCTTTCCTCCTTGTTTACATTGGTTTTCCTAAAGGGCACGTTTTGATCAGGACATTACTTTTTTTACGGAAGTTGTCATCAACACATATTTTACTAAGCTTAAACTTAAGTCTATTTATTTCTTTACTGAGGTAACTGGGGCCATTTGTATATTTATTTTCATTCACTCTTTTTTCTGTCTCGAAAGACATCGGACATTGTTTGATGTAAAACACCCCTACATTTGTATGTCTGTCTCACTCTAAGATTAACCATCGATAAAGCTTTATCACAACTTTGTGTAAGCTATGAAGATGTATTGTATAACGAGGGAAAGGAATCTAGAGATTTGGGATTGTGTGGTTTATGGAGTTCTATCATATACACAGGGAAAGAAATCTAGAGATTTGGGATTGTGTGGTTTATGGAGTTCTATCATATACACAGGGAAAGGAATCTAGAGATTTGGGATTGTGTGGTTTGTAGAGTTCTATTGTACACACAGGGAAAGAAATCTAGAGATTTGGGATTGTGTGGTTTGTAGAGTTCTATCATATACACAGGGAAAGAAATCTAGAGATTTGGGATTGTGTGGTTTGTAGAGTTCTATCATATACACAGGGAAAGAAATCTAGAGATTTGGGATTGTGTGGTTTATGGAGTTCTATCATATACACAGGGAAAGGAACCTAGAGATTTGGGATTGTGTGGTTTGTAGAGTTCTATTGTACACATGGAAAGGAACCTAGAGATTTGGGATTGTGTGGTTTGTAGAGTTCTATTGTACACATGGAAAGAAATCTAGAGATTTGGGATTGTGTGGTTCGTAGAGTTCTATTGTACACATGGAAAGGAATCTAGAGATTTGGGATTGTGTGGTTTGTAGAGTTCTATTGTACACATGGAAAGAAATCTAGAGATTTGGGATTGTGTGGTCTATGGAGTTCTATTGTACACATGGAAAGGAATCTAGAGATTTGGGATTGTGTGGTTTGTAGAGTTCTATTGTACACATGGAAAGAAATCTAGAGATTTGGGATTGTGTGGTCTATGGAGTTCTATTGTACACATGGAAAGAAATCTAGAGATTTGGGATTGTGTGGTCTATGGAGTTCTATTGTACACACAGGTAAAGGAATCTAGAGATTTGGGATTGTGTGGTCTATGGAGTTCTATTGTACACATGGAAAGAAATCTAGAGATTTGGGATTGTGTGGTTTGTAGAGTTCTATTGTACACATGGAAAGAAATCTAGAGATTTGGGATGGTGTGGTTTGTAGAGTTCTATTGTACACATGGAAAGGAACCTAGAGATTTGGGATTGTGTGGTTTGTAGAGTTCTATTGTACACATGGAAAGAAATCTAGAGATTTGGGATTGTGTGGTTTGTAGAGTTCTATTGTACACATGGAAAGAAATCTAGAGATTTGGGATTGTGTGGTCTATGGAGTTCTATTGTACACACAGGTAAAGGAATCTAGAGATTTGGGATTGTGTGGTTTGTAGAGTTCTATTGTACACATGGAAAGGAACCTAGAGATTTGGGATTGTGTGGTTTGTAGAGTTCTATTGTATACATGGAAAGGAATCTAGAGATTTGGGATTGTGTGGTCTATGGAGTTCTATTGTACACACATGTAAAGGAATCTAGAGATTTGGGATTGTGTGGTTTGTAGATTTCTATTGTACACATGGAAAGGAACCTAGAGATTTGGGATTGTGTGGTTTGTAGAGTTCTATTGTACACATGGAAAGGAATCTAGAGATTTGGGATTGTGTGGTTTGTAGAGTTCTATCATATACACAGGGAAAGGAATCTAGAGATTTGGGATTGTGTGGTTTGTAGAGTTCTATTGTACACATGGAAAGGAACCTAGAGATTTAGGATTGTGTGGTTTGTAGAGTTCTATTGTACACATGGAAAGAAATCTAGAGATTTGGGATTGTGTGGTTTGTAGAGTTCTATTGTACACATGGAAAGGAATCTAGAGATTTGGGATTGTGTGGTTTGTAGAGTTCTATTGTACTCACTGGGAAAAGAATCTAGAGATTTGGGATTGTGTGGTCTATGGAGTTCTATTGTACACACAGGTAAAGGAATCTAGAGATTTGGGATTGTGTGGTCTATGGAGTTCTATTGTACACATGGAAAGGAATCTAGAGATTTGGGATTGTGTGGTCTATGGAGTTCTATTGTATACACAGGGAAAGGAATCTAGAAATTTGGGATTGTGTGGTTTATGGAGTTCTATCATATACACAGGGAAAGGAATCTGGTGATTTGAGATTGTGTAATAAATGGAGATGTATTGTATACACTAGAGAATTGACAGGCATTCTTATTGGTTTTGTATTTTGTAAGTACTGTACCAAAGTATCAAAACTGATATATACCTGGGTATCCATATAGAATACAGGGCATATGGATTTGTAGAAAATTATTATTTTTCATATGAATAAAATCTATTGAACAAATACTCTTTTTCTCCAGGAATGCGTTTTTTAAGTGAATAAAATAAACATAAAAAAAATTATCATTCCAAATCATCTTGTTGTCTTAAGGATATATGCTATAGTACAAAAAAGGATAATTAAAATAATGTGCCTTTAGTGATCAACGATAACATTGATACACCTCCAGCTGTAATGTTCTAAAACTCCAAAGCAGTTAACCACTGTTCCACAATCTCCAATAAATACAGGTTGTAATATATTATGCACAAAAACATCACATTTTCATATTACCAAGTGGATGTTACATGCCTCACTTATCGCCATAAAACTTCTTAAAACTTATAGACTTCCCTAATTGTTTACTTCCTGAATTTATAAGTTAGGTTCATTTTTAACAATAGATTACTGCTAGCTCAAAGAGTGCATTCAAATAGATAAATAAAAACCTGACAAGTTGAAAGAAATTTTAGAAATTTGTATATATATCAGGAATATATGTCACATTAAAGTACCTTAACAGCATATATTCTTAAGCCAAATGTGAGTACATGCACAAAGCTACTGCACAACACAACAGTAAAAAGTTCAATACATCACACCTTCTTAAGCTCTTCTACATAGTTGACCATGGCCTGCTCACTATCCATGTCTCCCAGCTTAGTCCAAGCATCCCTGATCACATGAAATACAAATAATGAACTGAAAACAATGCTAAAATTCTTTACCAGGTTGAATATTTATAGCTAAATGTTGGTGCTATAAATTGTGCTTAGTGAAATGAATTCATGAAACAGTCAATGACAAAATATTCTTCTAAATCTGGATAGATATGTCCACACTTTCTTGGAATTATTTTTTTGTCTTGTCATAACTTTTGATGGAGATTTAATAGAGTCAACCATAGGCAGTTATGTGAGATATGGATATTTAACCAAGTGCATAGAATTTGGGTTCAGAACTAAGAATTTCACATGGTTCAGAACCAACATTCTTACTTCTGGCCTCAGCTGTTGTGCTCTTCCTACTATTTTGATTCTTACTGTAGGGTAGAATATCCATTATCCCACATACCTTTGTATGTTTTTCTACCACTTTGATCATGCAAATGCGACCTAAATATGTCATAACTTCTAGGTTCCATACATAAAAACATTAACTTTTGTTCACGAAATGGAGTCAGTTGCCGACTGCAAGACTGTATTGAGCAGGCAAGCAATATGTTTGGACAGACTTTTGATTGTAATGTCACAGCATAATGTTGTCATGTAATTGTGACATCACAATAGTAAAAGTCAGTGTATCAGTGTGGGAGAGCAATATACCACTGCATTTTTTGCAGGATTTTTGAAGGTCAGTCCAAAACAATAATTCCAAAATTTTGATGAGCCCAAAAACTAAGAGATAAAGTAGAGTTTCAAGATTTTAGTGAGTCCCACAGGAAAGGCTTGAGTTAATGACTTAAATATCTGACTCCCAAAAATCACTATATCCCATGATTGAGTATATATGTGTGTTATACATTTCTAAGTGGGGGGAAAGGAGGATCCCATGTCATAAAAAAAATTGTATGACATCAAGTCAACAATTCATTGGCATAAAGTTAAAAATTTAATAACATCACCTCATCAATGCAGCATTGTTATGACAACATTATTTGAGCGTAAGGTCAGCAGATTAAGACAGAAGTATTTATTTAGAGAAGTTGTATGTCAACCCATTGGAAGGGATTATATTTTGCCAAATATTTTGCAAGCCTTGTTTGCCATTTTGAGAGTCTCCCCTCCTCCTCTGGTTGCGATCCCCTTTCCTGACCCTCACATGAAAGAAAGATAATAATTCTAATAACCTACAAATGACAAATACACATACTGAATCTATTAGTAAGTACAATCTGAATGCAAAGTATTGAAAACATTGCATTTGAGATAAATGATACTAAGCCTTTTTACAGCACAATGAATATGTATTTTATGATAATAAGCAAATAAATTAAATCATTTGAACCATTTCTTTTTGGCGACCACATCCCATGCCCATGGTTTCTGTTTCTTGCATGGCCCTTCCGTTGCTTGTTTGTAGAATCCATAGAAATTCAACATCATCTCATAGGAAGGCTGGAATGGACCTGCAAATTTACAGTTGTGGTTAAAATAATATTCTTATAATCATAACATCTTATTTAGTTCTTTTTTTCTTTGATTTCAAAAAACTACAAAAAACAGTACACTATCATCCTTTTTGTATCTTTACCTTTACATAGACATAATTAGTAATCAGCATCCTTGATCTAAATGAAGATGGATATATGATTAAATTGACAAATGACTATGCATTAATGTACTTTTTGTCATGAAGAGTTTTGCAGAATTTTTGAAACCTGGGTGAATCCTGCAATGGGTGTGAAACATCTAGATCTGGCAAAAGTTTAAGATGAAATGTCTTGACATTCCTGCTGCCAAGCAGTTTTAAAACACCACTGCTTATAGAAGTGAATACAAAGTTTTCTGAACACAGTTTACGTAACAAAAGTGATATGTTTACAGATTATCTGTGTTCTAAAACACTAAAATCAGAAATAAATTACGAAAAAAATATAAGGCAGTTTATACAGATACTTGAGCACCAGCAAATCTGATTATATAGCCAAATCTGGTTACATAGTTTTCTGGTTTTGTAGTGAAATATGGGCCCGTATTCATAAAACCATTCTCATGCTCAAGCATAGATTTTTACTATAAAGCAAAATCTGCCGACGCTCCTGTCATACATTCATTAGAGAATCATTTTGATATTTGCTTTTCAGGATCACATTGTATTAATAAAACTAACTCTATCAATGTCACTGATTTTGGATAATATGCTATACAAACTGAACTTTGTCATGTTTGTAGTTTTTACTTACAGCTGTTACTACAACAGATTTTAAGTGCATAATTGCCAGTTAAATGATTTCAGCAGATCGTACATCTATATGCATTGCTCATTGCTGACAGTAACTATTGTTGTGTACACTGATATATGCTCATAACAATTAACAAACCATTTTTAGGCAAACCATGGATAACTTTCACCGCCGCATCAAAACGCTCTTTTGGAGACGTCGCCATTTTGAACTATCACGTGATGTTGGTAAATTCTAAATCAATAATCGGAGTTCTAATAAATCCGGAACGATTAATCTGATGTATGTGTATGATACTTAACAAAACACACGTTTTTGTCTTATACAAAAAAATGACTCTATGTAGGAGCACAGGGAATTCCCGTGCTATAGACATGTATGTATTGTAGTCATTGTGATACATAAAATGGCAGACCATAGGTCGGGAATTCGTCACGGCAAAGTCCATGTGCGTAGAAGAATACTCGTTCTTATTAAAATGATTTAAAACTTCCGATGAGCAACTGATTTGTAAATCTATATCTATACAGTTCACCGTTGAAAGGCGGAACAAATACATAAACATTTTCTTTGCTTGGACTAGACAGTCTAGGTAACAGGTAAACGATGATTGATACACTCAATGTTAACCAATCCAGAAAAAAATCAGAGTACTGAAAGGCTAAACGTATTGAAAAATGTTCACAAATCATCGCAAATCTATATTACTTTCCCCATACTCCTACACTTTGGAATGCAAAAATTACTCAAATAAGAGAACCAGAGGCTATTTTTCTTAATTTTAAGCGATTTTATATCTTCTTTAATTCTTATTTCAAATTTGACGACAATAATGTGAACAAATCAAAATAGGTAAAAAAAAAAAAAATACACACAACCATCTATTTATCGCCAACAAGCCAAATGATAAATAGCTCTATGATGAAGTTGACTAAATAAAACCTTTGAAATACCCAAAATGTTGCAATTACTATCCTATCAATATGAGGATTTAGACAAATCGAAAGGACTTTATACCTACTTCTTTATTTTAAATGTATTGCAAAGTAATAGTCCTTACTTATTATAATTATATTGTTAGTTGAGGAAAGTAGATAAGGTGTACACAGCATTTCAGATAGATTAAAGTGTAAGTAATTACATTAAATGTATTTATATATTGTAAACAGTATTTTATTTTCAGAATAACATGAACATATAATTATACATATTGAAACACATTGGGATTAGGAAACAAGCTTGAAGCTTATATTAATCCTTCTCCCAGAAATTTATTTGTATAACAATTACATATGGTGGCGTAATATACACTTATATTAATTTAGTGTTTAGTTAATTTTGGTGTAAAGGGAAAAACAAATAACAAAAAGGAATAAGTTGGTGGAATACATGGTTAATGTACAAATTGTATTACGTAACAATATTTTAGGAGTCTTATGTGCAATTTGCAAAGAAAAGAGAATAAACGGGACAGTTACTGTCAGACAAATATAATTATATTACTCAAAACAATATGTTTAGTCAAATTTCTTACTGTAAAAAAATGAAATTTTGGACAGCAAGAAAGATTTCCTCATTTTCTATTACATTAAGGTCAGGGTCACCCCACGGTAAATTTTCAACACTTAAATCATATGGTAAAGAGAACAAATAACGTTGTCTTAGGTTAGAATATTTATGACACATAAAAAGAAAATGAAAATTATCTTCTATATATCCGCAGCTACAAAATGGACTTTCAACAAGGTTTCTTCTAAATAAATGTTCATTCAGATTACTACATTGTAGACGCAATCTTGAATGTAATACTTGTAGTTTTCGACTGCCAAAATTGAGGTAGGAACGAGGAAGTGGTTTGTCAATATTTAGATAAGATTTTAAAGAGTTAATAGACGGGTTATTTCTAATTATAGAAGGGACCGAATTCCATAAATCAATTGTTGAAGGAAGAAATGATTTTTTGTACAAGTTTGTTCTACATCGTACAGGAATAAGTAGTCTAGTTCTATAGTCACGTATATCAGAGTGCTGAGACGGGACAAAATTTGTGAGATATGCAGGAGTTAAATCATGGAACATTTTGTGAAACTGTATAATTTTATGTTTTGTTCTACGACTGGATAATTTTTCCTATCCCGTGTCTTTGTAAAGAAGATCAATGCTGGCTAATCGCGTAGCACCTGTCACTATTCTGGCGGCTTCAATTTGTACAGATTCTAGTTTATCACTAAGATGCAAGGGCAATGAATCCCAAACAATGTCCGCGTATTCCAAAATTGGCCTGATAAATGCAAAATATAATTTCTCTAGAGATTTTCTATCCAATGTAAATTTTAAATTCCTTAGTACTGCTAGTCGACATGATACTCTTTTTAAAATAGAATCTATGTGCTCGTTCCAAGTAAGAATAGAAGAAAAATATAGACCAAGATGCTTATGTACATTAACGTCAGTTATTACAGTATTATTCATAATGATATGGGGTAAGTCTGATCTTCGGTCTGTGTTTCTTTTGCTAATAAAAAGTGATTCTGTTTTGCTAGGGTTGAACGTCACTAACTATCTTGCTGCCCATTCCGAAATTTTCGATAAGTCACGGTTTATAGATTCAATCGCAGTGTCTACATTATCCATTATGACATATAAAGTGGTGTCATCTGCAAACAATTTAATTTTACAGCCAAAATCAACTACTATGTCATTTATGTAGATTAAAAAGAATAGTGGCCCCAATATAGACCCCTGGGGTACCCCAGCTGTAATTTTTCCGAACTCTGAAGTATTCCCATTTATCCCTACCCTTTGCTTTCTGTTTTCCAAATAACTTTGAACCCACTTCAATAAATCACCCGAAATCCCAGCTAATTTCAATTTATGTATCAAACCCCTATGCCAAACACGATCGAAAGCTTTACTAATATCACAGAAAACAATTTGAACTTTTTTACCACTGTCAAGAGCTTTGCCAATGTCGTTTGAAATATCTAATAACTGATTTACAGCTGAGTCCCCAGGGGTAAATCCAGACTGTGAATCCGTAAAGAAATTCTGATCTCGTAGGAAGTTATAAACACGTTTAAATATACATCTTTCCATTACTTTTCCTATAATACTCAACAATGAAATGGGTCTGTAATTTGAAACACAACTCTTATCTCCCTTTTTAAAAATAGGTATTACATTTGCACATTTCCATTCATCAGGAAATAGTTTTGACTGTAACGACTTATTAAATAGTTGACATAGAGAATTGCACAATTGATTTATACCTTCTTTCAATAATTTAGGACTAATTAAATCTGGACCGGATGCTTTTGATGTGTCAAGTGTACTAATTGAATCTTTTACATCTTCAGAAGTTAAAACAATATTTTCGAGAATTGCGTGAGGGCCAGTAGGAGTAGGTATAATTGCATTACTATCATCAATATTAGATTGCCTAATGAAGAAATTATTTAAAAGAGTAGCTTTATCACCATCCTCATAATACTCGTTACCTTCCGAAACAAGCATAGGAATCGAAGACGATTTCGAAGAGAATTTAGTAAATGTATTGGCTATTTTCCACCAATCCCTAGAAGATATGGATTCTGAATGAAGATTATTTGCTAATTTTATAAAATGGTTAGATTTTGATTTTCGAACTGCATCTACACAAAGATTCCGTATTTGTCGAAACTTACCCCAGTGATTATGATTGTTTGTTAACTTAGCTTTATAATGTATTCTTTTTCTAGCCCTAATTAATCCACGAATATTATTATTCATCCAAGGAGGATCGTTTTTTCGTAAGGTAACAATTTTATTTGGAATAGTTGCTGATGCTACTGCTAAAAGTTCTTTTGTAAATATTTTAGGCAACATAGTAAATATATTTACATGCCTATCTTCCTTGAAGTATCATGGTTAGACTTTTCTTCCAGTAATTATGTCTATAAAGACATAGTTCTTTGAGATTAAACCAGACTTCTATATATATACAAATTTACAATATTTTCACTATAGCTACTACTATTTCTGATTTCCAATGCATTAGATAATGTCACCATGACACGCTAAATGAATAAATATGTTATGGAAATGTTTCGTTCAAGTTAATTGATAATTATAAACATGAATATTTTGGGGGTTTTTTTATATGCGCTTTGTTTGAAGGAATATTTTCATTTCAAGGAACTTTGATACACATTAACAAACCTTGAGAAATCAGCACAATCAGCCTACATCAAATAAAACTAAAAGACAAAAAATATAAGTTATAACAGAGTCAACATCATGATCACTACAGTATTTAAAATATATAAATCATGAGCACCAAATGTACCTTGCCTACGAAGCGAAAACTTTTTATCTTCAATAACTTGAAAAAGTGTCATGGCGGTGGGTGTGAAAAACCTGAAAAAGTGTCATATCGGCGGGTGTGCGCGTGGGACGAACAGTCCAATTCGGTGACGTCTAATGAGGTAAAGTGATGTTATATATTAAGACGATCTTGCCACCACGACAAGGATTAAAACAAAATTGATGTTCTGTTTGTAAGTTGTGTTTGTTTATAAGTGCTGTTAGTTGATAATTCAAACCAAGCCCCCAGAAGAAGTTCCTTACTAAGTCTTGAAACCTGTTTAATAATTTCATGTCAGTATCCATACAATTATTTATATTAATATCGAGCACAGCGAGCGCCTTGTGGCATTATGTGTGATACTTCATTTGGCGAGACACCTGTCTCGTCTCCTAAAACTGCAACATGTAGATGTTCTTTCGATAACTGTTTGAAAATTAATCATGATTAGGGATTTGAATATTAAACAAATTCCAGTAAACACTTATAATTCACAATGAAAGGATAAAAATTGTTCAAAATTTATAACAAAATTAATTACAAAATACAGCAATAATCACACTGATTTTATTACTTACTATGTATAACAGAATAGTCTCTGCAGCGATTTTAACATTATGATATCGCGGAGCATGAACTTTACCTGCATTTTTCCACGAAGACACGTCAACATTGCTTAAACAAATAAAGGTTCAATTATATAGTAATCGTATTGTTATAAAAAAATAAACTAATTTTGTCAAAGACTTTATTCATACATTGACCATTAAAAAGCAAGCATAACATTTTTGTGAAATCAGTAATAACAAAACGCAACCTTCCGATATATATAGTAGACAGCTTTATTTTACAGCTTTTCAGGC